CCCTTCCCCTTCGCCCCCCCCCCCCCCCCCCCCCCCCCCCCTCTCACCCGGCTGCCAGAGCCACTGACTCGCCCTCTTCCCCTCCGCCCCCCATGGCCTTGCTGGACCGTCGCCGCTCAGTCCCATCCATGAGGGTGTGGACGACCTGACCACCCTGAGTTACCTCCACGAGCCTGGCGGTGCGTGCCGCTCGCGACTCCTCCGCCTCGCCGCCACCTGCTGGAGGGTCCCCCCCCCCCTCCTGCTCGATCATCGCCCCGCCCGTGCCCTGACCTCCCCTCCTCTGTGTACAGTCCTCCACAACATCGCCGCTCGCTATGCCAACCAGATCGTCTACACTTACTCCGGTTCGTCCATCCTCCCGAGCGCCCCTTCTCCTTCTCTTCCTTCCCCCTCCCTCCCCTCGTGCAGCTGTTCTGACCGGTCCCTCCCCTTTCCTTTGGTCTCTCTTCCTGTGTAGGTATCGTGCTGGTGGCCATCAACCCGTATCAGAGTCTGAATATCTACAATTTCAGCACCATCAAGGCTTACGCCGGTACCACCCAGGGCGTGCGTGCACCCCCATCATGGGCCAACTGCTGTTCCTGGCTCTCCTTCCTTTCCGCGGACCGGCCGCCCGATGACTGACCTCCCTCCCGTCTCTCCCCTCGCAGGAGCTTGAGCCTCATCTGTTCGCCGTGGCGGAGAACGCCTTCCGTACAATGGTCCGCGAGGGCCGCAACCAGTCGATCATTGTTACCGGCGAGTCTGGTGCCGGTAAGACGGTCAGGTGCGTTTCCTCCCTCGCCCCTTCCTCCCCCTTTCTCTTTCCTGGCTGCCGGCCTTCACTCCGCGCCGGCCCTCCATCTTCAACTTACCTCCCCCTGCTTTCCGGCCCCATGCACACACACACACACACACACACACGCGCGCACACACACACGCACACCGGCCACAGCACCAAGTTCATCATGCGCTACTTCGCTTCGGTCGAGTCCACCGATGACACGATGACCGCCGTCGAGCGCCAGGTGATGGCCACCAACCCGGCCATCGAGGCGTTCGGCAATGCTCGAACCCTGCGCAATGACAACTCCTCGCGCTTCGGCAAGTACATCGAGGTGGCCTTCGACTCGGCGGATCGGATTTCCTCGGCCCGCATCCGGACTTTCCTGCTCGAGCGCAGTCGTGTCGTGTCGCCCGGGTCTTCCGGCGGGTTGGACTCCCACTCGCAGCAGCGCTCCATGGCCTCGAGCGGCTATCACGACGACCTGGGGCTCAGCATCGGCGAGCGGAACTACCATGTGTTCTATCAGCTGGTGGTGGGCGCCTCGGATGAGGACCGCGAGGCCTTCTTCCTGACGGACGACCCGGAGGACTATCGGATTTTGTCGGTGGTGCGTGCATGACACTGGCCAGGGGCTGTCCCCTGCCTTTTGGGCAAGGGTGTCCCGTGTGGGTGGAGCTCCTCTGACGATGCTGCCCTTTGTGCCCCCCTCCCTGCTGGTGCTCCGCGCACCGCCTCCCAGGGCGGCTGCACTGAGATCGAGGACGTCGATGACGCACATGAATACTCCGAGACCCGTGCCTCGCTGTCGACCATCGGCATGTCCGAGGCCGACCAGCACTCCCTCTTCAAGACCGTGGCGGCGCTGCTCCATCTCGGTGTGTTTTTTTTTTTTTTCCTTTCCGCGTCCCCATCTGCTTAGATCCCCCTCCTGCCGTGCGCGCGCACGCACACACGCACGTGCATCTGCGCCTCTGCTGACGTGGGTCCCCCC